ATTTCGGCACAACCTCGAGCAGTTGAACCATGGGTAGATCAATTAGTCCGTCAAGCTCAACGGTGGATGACTTGAAAGCGATCTCCATGCCATCATACTCACGAAATGGGAAATCCTGTCCATAGTGGACAATGATGATCACCTAAGCTGGGGATGGCCGAGAAGTCACGCACAATGACTATGCCGCTAGGCTCTCCTCCTTGTCAAATAGTGGCAGGTACTGACCAGGCTGCTCGTTGGGCCTACTGCCGATGGCTGGATCGGCTTCATAGAACGCAACGTAGTGTAAGACTTGCCCGCGGAGGAGTACCCGGTTTTCGTGACTCGCTGGGACGTACCCCTAATGTTCCATGTCTAGACCTTCTCCAAGCCATCTGGGACACATGATGGGTTTGTTGTAGTTAGTCCATATATATATATGGACTAGTCGCATTTTTCGAAACTAGATCAAGGTCTTGTTCTTGTCAAACTTTGGTGAAGGGGTTTGCATAGATCTGATCACGAATATCGCATTCTTTCTATGGCACCAACGTAATTTGGCGCCATTTTCGAGCCAAAATTTTCCCTCCATTTGAGGAAGAAAGCTCATATGGTGTTATTTATAACATTGATCATGAATATGACGCTGATTATGAGCATAGTGCTATTTGGCAATCATCATGAAGCGCCAGCCAAAATGCAATACAGCGAAGCCTTGGGCAGTCGAAGAGTCGAACCAAACATCTCAACTCCGTCGTGCCAACGCTACCGCCACACTGTCCACTAATCAGGGAGGTCGTTCAGGGTGTGCCGAGCTTCTTCAAAACGGCTTGTTGCATGATATAGGGGCACATGCAGGAACCACAAAACTATGGATCATTTTCCCGAGATGGCTTCCTGAATAGGGCGAAAAAAACTGGGAGCTGTCGTTTAGTGCTTAGTTGGGACGCACATCGTCCACAAACTTGACTACGGTCATACTAAAGGGTTTCCCCTACCTATTCATTGAAAACGACCCAAACTTCGGGCAAAATGATGCGTTTGTCCAAGCTATCTGCTTAAAGAAAGTGTCATGGTTTCACAAGGCGTCTTGTTGCCAGAGTGCCCAAGACGTGGTAGCCTAGTAGATAGTGGATGGCCCCTAGTTTGCACGGTGCGGGGGGACGAGGGGTAGAGATTGTGTTCCTTACGGCACACGCTTTCTGCATTTTTTGCCTACAATTCAAGGGGAATGCCAAGTGGTATTATCTCTACGTTAGAGTCCATATTCAGGATCAAGATTATGAGAAATTCCTATTAAAGTGAGATTTCATTGACAACTGGGGGAACACGTCGCGGTCCCAAGATGGCCCCAAATTGCGATGGCCACAAGAAGAATGCCATCTTCGTGATCATGGCGCAGTTGTAGCCCCGACATAGAAGTTTTGGGGAAAACCGAGATTTTAACTTGTCTTGGGAAGGACAGGCCCTAGGGACAACGCGACGCGTGGCCCCGGCCTTTTTGGAGGCGAACTCGGAGCGTAAGATCAGGGATACCCTCTTGTGATAAATATTGAAATCAAGGATTTGCCTCTACAGGACACTTCTCACACTTTGTTGCGTTCTTTAAGTCGATCTGGCTACCGACAAGAGGCCTAGTAGTTAGTGATAATGCCGAAAATTCGGATAACCCCACTATTTGACGGGAGGTGAACCTAGCGACCTATTCATCGTGCGTGATCCCTTGTGTGTCTGCGTCAGGATTTCTCATTCCTAGAATACGTACTAGATGACAAAGAGACCGCCTTCAAATCATCCACCGTCAGGCCTAACGGCTGTTGTCTAACGTCTACCTATAGCCCAACTATTCGAAACTGGTCACAATCATTTTCTCTCTAAAACCTTTGTTGTAAGGGTTATCCAATGCCCTGTTACGACTGCGACATTGGTCTTTGGTGTGGGCGTCATCTCGGGCCACTACGACGCCATTCGGTGCCAAATTGGTGTCATTTTTGTGTAACAAACACATCACCAGTTTTTTGATCAAAAGCTATTTTCAAGTCTGCTGATGGTTCCAATTAAGAATATGACATCCATCCTTGCGCTGATGCCGTTCTGCGCAATTTCTGAAACGCCAACTCAAAATTCAAAAGTTTGTCACCGCAAGGAATCGAACCACTGTCTACTTCATAACCCCTTCTTTGCTGTTCGGGGACCCCTTAGTAAAAAGAAACCATGGTTCTATGGTTCCCACATTATCGTTATCTCATGCAAGAAACACTTTTGAATTAAAGCTTGGCACCATGAACGACCTCTGGTAAGCCACCGGACCATCAAACCAGTGAGCTACCGACAACGCTTGCGAAACTATAGCGCTTTCTTCAGCACATACAGTGCGTTTCAAAAGTATAAAGCCACCCTTAAATGAAGCTGTTCCAAGTTAGAATGAAGGCTCCGTGATTTGATGAATAGTTTATCGAATTCAGCACGCTCTGAAACTATAGTAAACTTTATTGTACAAACCACTATGAGCTAGAAACGGTTCCATAAGAAAATTTGAAAAACTCCCCTGTTTCAAAAGTATAAAGCCAACCCGGGCGAGTAGGCAACAGCGGTAAAAATTTTTGTTCCTGTTAACTCATTTGGAGTTCTTTGGCCATAATTAGCACAAACACATTACGTCTTCAATATATCTCGTGGATCTACGTTTTCTTTTGAAGAGCACGTTCGTGCGATGACTTTACATGAAGTGCCCATTCAAATCGCTCCTTGTTGCTCAACTTCGACGTTCTCAAAGCTGTATCGACAGTCTTTTGAGGAATCCAGCTTATTATGAAAGAAAGATCCCGAAAGGTCACGTTTTTGCTTGTATATTATATCCACCATGTTAAACGATCCCTTTCCAATCTACTGCCGATCTCATCAGATCACCTTCTCGAAAGTTCCATTTGGAGGTCGCTAACTCTGCTCCAAATATCGTGCGACAATCCATGATGAAGACTCCACGTCCGGAACAGCATCACAAAGCACTTCGTCTCGAACTCGCGCCCGAGGAACATGCGAACGAGTGGGGTTCGTAGGTGATTCTACGGGGTAGGGAGCACTTTCATCATGACGTTTAGTTAATGGCTGTAGTGTTCAGTTCATTTTCTGGGTTGAAAGAACTTCAACTTAGGACCGGCCGGATGGTCATTACAGATTCTGGAGAGATTTTAGCAAAGATCCGCTGGTATTAGCAGGAGAACTCGGTGGTGACGCATAGATGGTCTGAGCTGCATTCTACAGCGATGCTGTGCTTCCTCTGTCTTTCGTCTCGTGTCAAATGGACCCCAGTGAGAATCAGGAGCTTTTCTTAATGATCTCCTCTCGTTCTGGTGGAATGTCGGCAAAACTTCATCTTTATGCACGATTACCCACATCCATCGCAGCCGGTCCACTCACACACCGAGTTTACGTCAACAAAATCAGTGTACTGGAATGGCCTGCTAGCAGCCTAGATCCAAATCCAATAAAAAACACCTGGGTATCTTTGTCCGACAGATAACGCGTATGGAAAGCAGTACAGTAACGTGGGGACCTCAGACAGCCATCGAGACGTTTTCCTAACACCTGAATCCCGCTATATCTTGAAGCTCGCGGATAGGAGCCAACATGGTCTATTAAATCTCACTTCTGAGAGAGCGAGAGGAGGTCTGTCGACGGGGCGTTGGGGTAGTGTTAGCTGAACATAATTACGATGTTCACTTTTTCTCTGGAAAAATAGAGTTATAATGCAAGTGGCTTTATACTTTTGAAACAGGGGATATTTGGAAATCTTCTTATAAAAATGTATGTGAATCATTTTGTTTCCTGAAATAAAGAGAACAATGGTTTCCAAACACGCTGAATTCAATAAAGTTTATGGCAAGCCATGAAATACTCACCTTAACTCGGAAAGTTAGTTTTCATGGGTGGCTTTATACTTTTGAAACGCACTGTAGTTCATACAACTGCATTATTTTGCCGAACTTCGCTCCATTTTTCATGTACCGTTAACGAGATCCTGTTGATATGGCATTGATCAACGCTGTGAACGATGTACTTCACATTAAAGCAATAAAAATGGCAGATCATCAAGAAAGTTTTTATCGCTCCTTTTTTGGTATTCAGAGGGTCGCTCAGAAAAAAATGAAGTGCAGTTCTGTGTTTCATGCACGTATCCCTATATCGTGCAAAAGCTGTTCCAACAAAGCTGGGTATTTCCTAAAAAACCTCCCTGGTAAGATGCTAGGCGCAAGGACTTCTGACAGACCTCACCAAGCCTAACATGTTCCACCCACCGTTCGATGTCTTCTCTGGGTCACAATATTGATCTGCTATGCTCTCTCTTGCTACTGGGTTCTTTACTACTCTTCGCGCTTACGCTACCTCCCATTTCCCTGCCTGCATTTTTTTTTACTTTTACGCAGCGCAGAGCTAGAAGACTTGCATTTTCTGTGCCTTTCACAACTTTCATTCCTCCAGAACCTTGTCCATAGCATGCCACGGGGACTCCGTGATGTCGCGCTTTTCAAGAAAAATTCACAGGTCTTCAACTCTTCTACGTGATACACTATTTCCGATGAATTGTTCATTTTCTCAGGTCGGATTTATACATATAATAGTTATGAAATGGTGCAGAAATCAAACGATATTGTGAAAAATGCTCAGAAAAATGATGCTGTTCCCAAAATCCGAATACGGGGGTTATCGCGGTAAGGAAATCACTAGTGCCTCGATAAAAATACCTTACCTTCCTCACACAATTCTTGCTTATACTGGGAACGCAGAATTTAAGGGCGAGCGCATCATTATGAATCGTTTCGTATTGGGGTGCTTTCGTGGAAATCGCAAGCAAGAATCGCAATCGCAATTGGTCGAAACGAGCGTGGCCAGCAAGTATACACTTGAACAGTTGCTGTGCAGCAGGACACAGGCATGGTAGAATTGTTAGAACTTCTGAATGTTCTGTTGTAATACACGTTTTATCAAGATCAGTGAAAGTTCATTGGGTTCACTGCAAAATGTTCAGCCGTCTTCCAGATTTCCCAATGTTCGCTCCGGAACTGCTCAAGGAAACCGGAAATGGCGATAACTATCCACGTGGCTCACCACAAGGCGATATCTATAGTTTAGGCATGATATTGTACTGGTTAATGTACAGAGAGGATCCGTTTGCTAAGACTGGCCTTCGCGGAAAAGGTGAGGATAACAGCTGTACCTATGGCATACATCATTTCGAGCTTCGGGATAACTTTCTGTAGAATTCCAACTCATGGCAATCAATGAACAGGATAATTTGAATCAAGTTGAGAAGTGAAAAACTCAGTAAGCTGAGTGATAAACAACGTAGAAGGCAAATATGTGGATTTTCTAGCCCTGGTTGCTGAGATTCTTAAGCGTCGTCTTAAACCTGAAGCAGACGATTACGACGGCTCACCAGATCAGAAGGTATGAATATCTCCTCAAGTACTATTTTTTGTTTAAATCTGTTGAAGGCACCGGCTCCATTGAATAGGAAGTGAGGCAGCACTCCTATCACAGGGTCCAGTGTGCGTCGGATCGTTCAAGCCCCTCAACCCTTCGACTGGTGGTGGCACACATGTGTACCCACTACCACAGTTTCAAGACTCATTGAGACAGGGGTGTGGGCTTGAAGGCGGAATTGTGCACAAAAAAGTTGTATGATTCTTACCCCCACAGCAAATCGCTAGAAGTCAAGGCGAGTTACTCTGGATGAGTTAAACTTTTGACTACTGTTGTTGCACATGGGTATGCAGAGGTTGTCGAAGCAAGTCCTAGCGCAGGTCACTGGTCATTGTGTGTAGTTCCCGAAACGATGATTTTGAATATTCTTAATTGTTGTGCTTGCAATATAGTAAAATGTAAATCAATAAAGCCAGACTGATAATAGGTAATTCAAAATCTTCTTTCTTCGGAGATAGATGATGACAAGAGAGGCAGCTACCGCGCGTGTGGTCTCCGAATCAAACCCCAGGTTGAACCCTGCGTACGTCAGTCACATTTCTAAATATGAATGGTCTTTGCCGAAAGTTGTAGTCACCATGCAAAACACATTGATATCTCAATTCTAAAAAAGGTCGTAGTTCAAGGGTTAGGGGCCAGTCTCGGCTATAGACGGAGTGTTTGGGATTGCAGGGCGGTATCCCTACCTAGGAACACATACAAATCTTTTGTCAGTTTTATTAACATTTAATTTTGTATCAGGCGAAGTGGCACCATCTCAATGAGGTTTTATACCTTCCTAAATCACGATCAGTCCAAGAACTGGAGTAGCGCGGCTAAGACCAACTTACAATGCGCAAGGGAGGAGCTAAGAGACGCACGGGTCGGAGTCAGTGGAGATAAAGCAGCATGGGCTTGGAACGAACAAGTTCTGAGTCGTCAGTCGTGAAGCAAGCAGAAAGGAGTGTATATGAACGCTTTCAGAAGAATGTATGAGCAGCCATTATAGGAATGCCCTACGAGTGCGGAATAAGGTGATTTGCCTGATCACGGTAGATGCGGAAAGGAGCAGAAGCATGGGGAAGAGGTATCATCGTCCGCATTTTCCAGCAAGAGGGTGAGGCAGTGAAATGCTCTAACTTTCGCCACCTCACAACGAAACTATAGGAAGAATAGGTCGACTCAGCTTAGCGAAATAGTGGCAATCGTGCAGTACAAGTTCGGTTATGCCTGATAACTCCACAGATTCTATCTTTATCGCAAGGACACTGCGAATAATGTGCCAGGAAAAGAAAGGTGTTCAATCGTCTACCTCGCTAGAGTTTTGGAGAGCGCTCAGAAAACAAACTATTCCGGAAATCTTATCTCTTGTGACTAACATGTACTACGATGCTAAAGCAGCTATGCCCAACTTGCACGGGCATCATGAGTATCAGCTCTGAACCCGTTCCTCTTGCTGCTAGTATTAGACTATGGTTGAGGGATTGGTGGATGAGTCATTGCAGAGCATTCGCCACGCTGTGTTCTTCGTTCTGAAGCTGGACTGAAGAACTTCAGTGTAAGGTACAGAAATCGTAGGACGCGCTCAGGGAACGTGGGCTCCTGCTATTCGTGTGGAAAACTAATTCCAGCTCTGAAGGGTATACAAAGGTAATCGCGGACGACCATGGGGAGAACAACGAAAGTCTGGGGGACTTCGGCTAATTTGGCAGCAACTTAGCCAACCGTCAGCAGAGTGGATTGAACAGTAAAAGCAAGGGTCGACGCGGCATGAATTAAGCAGAGGAGTCGCTGGAATCATCTGCGATAGAAGATGCTCCAGAGGGCTCAATAGGTAAGGTGTAGCGGACGTGCTTCGGCCTGCAATGCTATTCGGCAGCGAGGGTACACTGGACACTGGGCAAGAGCTATGAAAGGTCACCGCACTACGCAGATTGTGAGGTTCGCATGTGACAGACGTGACTCAAAAGTGTCCAGCCCTTTTGGTCTGTAGGGCAAATCCACCGAAAGTGTTGACGCTTTTACGCTGCATTCTAGCGAACGTACCCATTAACTTCAAACCAGAAGCGCGTCGAGTGCAGACCACACATAACAAGTGACGTCCTCCTCCAAGTAAATCTGGTGATGGTGATTCATACATATTGTGGGGACCGTGGTCACTGTGGTGCGTGGTCTGGACTAGACGCGTTTCTGGTTCTCTGAAACAGAGGGTATATAAGACCTGCGCTATACCTAACAACGGTCGTTAGCCGAAAATGGCGGAGACAGCTCTGCCACACACACTTGTTTTCTGGAGGATTTCTCATCCGTTCTTGCTTTGTTCTTTTTGTTTGAAACTGTACTTTGTATCCCGCGTCACCACCACTCGGCGGCGTTCAGTTCCTGGTTTACAGCGCTACTACCACAAAATCACGACCGGCTACGGCTGTCTACATTCCATAAGAAGACTTTTTTTTCTAAGCACACGCATATAACGCCCGGATAAGTTAGAGTCCAGTGATCGATGGCTCTGATTTATTCCAAAGACTAGACCCGAAGCATAGACGCGCCTACAACAGAGGTGATTGAAGGCTCGCCTAATTTGTAGCGATGTGACAAATCGGTAGAAAGAACAGTTCATTGGATAGGAAGCTTTAGAGCTATCTTTTCTAATCCTTCTCCCAAATGCTCAAGTAGAAGGAAATGGTGGAAGCCCAGCTACTCAAATAAAGCACTTTGGCCCTGACAGCAATGCACTGTAGTCTGTATCCAATTCACGTGCAACGTTACCGCACGGAACCGCTGATTTTCCAATATTCACTGGTAACCAAGCCAGTTTCGTTGTCACGGAATGTTTGAAAGCTACTGACTTAAATTATTACATTAGGCTGTCTTTGGCCATTTGGCAACTTTTTTTTTCTTTGCAGTCAACAATTGACATAAACATACACCACCATAAGCGTCGAAATCTTTCCCTTCAGTAGGCAGTTTCAGCATGCCTGGTTCAGAAATCCTGAGTTTTTGATGCGGAAAGCTCGAAGAAGTTGATTCCGAGTAGGTCCGGATAATCGGCGAAATAGGCTTATGGTAGTCTGTTTCTATCGGGTTTGCTTAATACACTAAATGGGTCATTTCATCCCATAACGAGTTTGGAAAGTTCTCCTGGACCTTCTTCGTAACTTGTTGGCAAGCGTCGCCGACATAAAGTAAAGTTTGTCAGATTTTTAGGCACCATGCCGGTAGACGGATCCGCTTGCTAACATCACCGTTGACCAATAGCACTTGACTTCGTTGGCAGCAGCTCTCAGTGTGCGAAACACTTGCAGTCTGAGCTTTCAAAGTTGCCTCCCAGATTTCTCTTCTCGAATCGGCGTAGCAGTCCTTTGTTACATGCATCCGAGCCAGTCGTGCTTTCGCATGCGGTTCAAGCGAGGATTCCACTTCTTGTTATGAATAACAAAGTTGGCAGATCAAACGAGAGAAAGGCGGCAATTCGAAATGTCCATGCAAAATTTTATCGTCTTATAAGCCTGGAGTAAGTTAGATCACAGAATAGTCTTTCTCTACAGCTTCACTTCTTTTCAAGACGATATTGAGAAGCGGCTAGTGTGCTCTGATAGCACTGAAAATATTCCGCCAGCTACCACGCACTGCATCAGGTGCTCTCCCCAATCGACTTCAGAACACCTCCTCAATGTGTGTAGCAGGCTGACCAGATATGTGATCTTTTCTTATCTATCTCGACATCTGCAACCAAATAACTACCCCAAGGACAGCCTCGAGATCCATCACAATGAGCCTCTTACTGCGTTGCTTCAATCGACGCACTTTGTGGGCATATAGTAAAAGCACGAGCAGTCGAATATGCCTTCAGTAAAAGACGTTTTTTTCAGCTCCAATCGCTGCGAAATACCACGGTACAAATGCTTTGAAGAGAGTATTGACCACCGCTTACATGGGTTTCACAGTGGATGTTTCAAAACAATTTCAAGAGGTTTTGCAAGATGAAGAATAGCGCAAGAACTTTTCCGACAACCTAATGTTTGTAATTACTACGGCCATACGGATGTGGTGAATTTGTTTTAAAATCAGCTGCCAAGGCTGATCAAGTTATTATGGAAGCTCATTGTGATCAGGCTTCATCAAATCTCATCTGCAGTTATTAGCCCCAGCAATTTAAAAGTGGTGATTTTGATGTTAATCACAAAAAACATCGCGACCCGTCAAAAATTTTGAATAATTGTAAGTAGTATAATACTTGTGAAGAATGCCGACTGGCTAAATTTTCGGGTTATGCTGATCATATGTTACGAAACGCTTGCATGCAGNGGAAAAAAAAGAATTCTGAAGGGAGAAAAATGGTTACCAAACGAACTGCATCCCTCCGGCTGTAAGCTGTATCTGCGCGACCAAATATACAAAACTTCCGAAGGATCTCCGGCTGCTGTGATGGAATATCCTTTCTTTCCCTACTTCTCCACTCCACGCTCCACATTCTATTTTCCACTTATGGTGCTTGTGGACTGGCGCATAATCTTGAGTATTTGAAAAAGTGCAAAACTAAGTTGACCAACTGGTTCGCTCTTTGATCATTCGAAACTAGGATACGAATTTGCGAATAAGATGGGAAAATGGTTGCGTTGAGGAAAATACTTTGCGTTAAGAGCCTCTTCACAGCGGACGTTTTTTGGAGCAAGAAAATAATGAAATATAGTTCACCTAATATTTTCAAACATGTACCTTATCCAAACATTGAGGAAGCCTCCATCTTGCATCCGAATTCCCGACCATTTCAAACTAGCATATTTGAATTCAAAAGAAAAATTGAATATGTATATTATTCAGGCACTTGCTCGCCTCATGAAAGAGTGCTACACTACTGCTGCCGAATCGAGGCCGAGTCTTCGAAGTGTTCTAACAGCGGTCAACAAGGCATTTTCTACTTCGTACGTTATATATATGGATCTTACGGGAAGATTACCCTTATGAGATTGCGAGGGAATGATAATTCAGGAAAGGGAATTTGGTTGATCAAATGATACGCATGAACGAAAAATATGCACAGAATCTCGAGCAGATTGTGGCCGAGAGGAACGCGATGCTGCAAGAGGCTCAGGAGCAGACGAACCGGCTTCTGAATGAGATGCTTCCAGCGTGAGTCATTTCCCTGTTGAAAATGCTCTCCGCAACACTGCAGAGCGACGCTATGTGCTTCTGCTTGACACAAAGCAATGCTATTGTGTGGTTATTACTACCGTCATTCATGTATGTAAACGTAACCGTTAGTGGTCTAGCAGCCAGCTCGCGATGTGTATGTGTTCATATTAAAATATGTAACAGAACTACATATTACACATTTATTACACATAGCTATTGAACTTGAGGAATTGTTCATCAGGTCCGTTGCACAAGTTCTCAAAGAGGGTGGTACGATACCTCCACGGAGTTATGACGCAGCTACCGTATGCTTTGTACAACTCTGCGATTTTCCTGCACTTGTTAGGAAAAGCAGGTCCGACGAGGTAGACAAAAGTGTAACATGAATAAGCTGCAATTAAGGAAGGTTATTCAGGTCATCAGTTTCCTTAATGACATTTTCGATCGCTTCGACACAATTATCAAGAAGCATGACGCATATAAGGTTTTTTTAAACATGTTTGCTAAATGAAATTTCATGCAAGATTGGCCCAAATTGAAGGTAGAAACTACGGGCGAAACCTACATGGTGGCATCCGGTGTGCCGAATGAGAATGATGGACGACACATTATCGAAATAGCGGAGTGTAGCTTAGATATCAGAGAGGTAAGATGGTAATCATTTTCGTCACGGTTCATTTTTCTACAGTGTCTCAATATCGTTTGCATGGTTGTTAGTATTTACAGTGCGTTTCAAAAGTATAAAGGCACCCGAGAAAACTGTTCCTGGTTTGGATGGAAGCTCCATAAGTTGTTACCAACTTCATTGAACTCAGCATGCATTGACTATAAATCGGCCTATTTCAGAACGATATATGAGTTACAATCATTTTTATAAGGAAATTTTGAAATTTTCTAGTTTCAAAAGTACAAAGGCACCCTAGACAGGAGGAGTTCACCATTATGATTTGTTCCTCCTGTTCCAACCCATTTGCGATTCAATGGGAATGCATAGTAAAAGCACACTACATCTTTGGTAGATCGGGACAGTCTGAGTATTTTACCAAGGAACAGGATCCTGCGAAATCAAATGCTTCATAATCTCAACGTCATCGATTCCTCGATGTGTTAATTTTTTATGGGAAACAAAGCCTGCGAAAATAACGGAATCTTTGGGGAAACTACAATTACAAACAATCTTTAGTCAACCACCTAAGTCAACCAGGTGGCATGAGTTTTTGCTTTCCTCGTCAAAAATTATCACCTGGAAAAATGTGAACCCAGCTGCAAGTATTGTAGGTGGGTCCATGATGAAGTCCCTGGAGTGGTTAAGCACCACAAAACAGCTCGCCTCAATTTAGCTCAGGGACATGTCACGAAACGGGATTCAACACGTGGTTCTACAGAATAGACCTCTTTCAAAGTGAGTAGGCTCTTTTGGATTCGGATTAATTTCTCCGATGAGAATGATTCGGGTTTTATGTATATCACAACTGATAGACAGGGTGTCCCCCAAGAGGCCCGTCGCACGGCGAAGGAAGAGACGCAGACTCGGCAAAGGACGAGTCGCAGTGCCTACTATAGCAGTTAAGCGTCAGTTTAAATGGGGTGTACCATGCTACGTCTCATATCGCACAGCACGCGCTGTGACTCGTCCTTGTCCGCGTCTGCGTCTCTTCGTTCGCCGTGCGACGGGCCTCTTGGGGGGCACCCCTGATAGAACATCCCAGAAAGTTCCATCGGTCTTCATCCGGAGGAACTTCTTTAGCGGCTCCCAGGTCTCGGTTACATTGTGCACCAGTACTGTACTCTCTTTGGTCCGTGTATCGTATAGAAAGGGCTCCAGCGACTACGAGGATGTTCTTGTTGACACTTACTGTCTTTCCTAGGTGGTGAACCCTGACACATTTTCGTCCAGACTCGTTACGGCAACTACTCAACTACAACCGATCCGGTAACGGCGTTACCACCTACAAATCGGTGTTATAGACTTGCACAGCAACGCTTTCTCAGTATGGTTTCCTAGGTTCTACCGTAAGCGCGTTCGCGGTGGGGCGCGCAGTTTCACATGCTATCGGTTCGTTTCCGCCGTTTACTCTCCACCAGGGTGAATATTGCTTGAGGATTCCTCAACGGCACGTCGAGGATCCTCTGCCCCATCAGACACGATCTCTCGTGCGGACATACACACTCGCCATGCTCGTGCCGTCTGTGCCCTCCGCGGGGATGTTCACTCTCGGCACTACTCTCGCATGGTAGAGAGCTATGGTCGAAGAAATCCTCGACCGTTATTCACCCTGCTCTCCACTACGAAAGCCACGACGAGAATTTGGTCGTCAACTGTACGGAGCGCCATCGCTGTAGAAATTAGAATATGGCAGTGCGACAATTCTGCCGCAGGGAGGAGCCAGAGGAAGGCGTGCAATGTACGTCGTCTCATCACGCGATCGGCCGCTTGTGTACGGGGCGGAAACGCTGCGAAATTTTGAAGGGCTGCCTCCCGGTGGACGCGGAAAAGGTGCTATAGTGCCTCAGGATGGGAGGCGGTCATATGGCACGGACGCATTGCCATTGTGGCGCATGGGCTGTAGTTGCCACCCAGGCGCCTCCCAAATCTCGACCAGATAAGTCGTTTGGATCACCGAGCTGTGAGATTATAGTGGTTGATCGCTCTGCAATGGAGCGCGCCGGAGTAGCCTGGACTGCAGAGCCTCCCAAGCTCACCATTCTCACTCTTCTTTCGACTTCATTCTTACGCTGAGTTCGCTCTGCACACATGAACTATTGGAATGGCTGTAGAGTTATTTTGAAATGGTTGTGTCACGATCATTTTGGAACTGTGACACATTGCACTTCACAGCAACTTGTAGTGCATGATAATAATTCCTGTACTTGTGAAGTATTGTTCAGTCTTTTTGTTCAGTGATCAGTGTATTGGGAAGTTTATTGTCTTCGACTCAATTGGGCGGTTTTTTGGGAACCATTCTTGAAATCCATTCAGAATGGCCTACGTTGTATAAAAATCATCTTAATTTAAACAGTATTACGGCTGATCAGCTCACTTAAAGTTTTCCGCTGTAGTTCTATTTCTCATCTTTTTTGTTGTTCTTTTGCAAATTTCAAACACAGCGACTGATTCCACACGTTCATCGTTTAGCAGAAAATCAAGGAACTTCAATGCTTATCTCAACGCTTCAGAGAAGCAAATCCAAAAAACCATGGGCGATGAAGCCACATTGAAACTTGAACGCACTGCTCTCTGGACAAAAAAAAACTGAACAATGGTTCCCTCGTGTTGGGATTGTTATCCTCCACTGTAAGTTGCTGTGAAGTGCAATGTATCACAATTCACAAAATAATCGTTACACAATCACTTCGAAGTAACTTTATAGCCATTCCAATAGTTCATGTGTGCAGAGCGAACTCAGCGCAAGGATGAAGCCGGAATAAGAGTCAGAATGGTGAACTTGGGAGGCGCAGCAGTCCAGTCTACTCTGGCGCGCTCCATTACACCGATCAACGTAACCTATTCGTTCGGTGATCCCGACGAGTAATCTGGTCGAGATATGGGAGACGTTGGGGTGGCAACTACAGCCCATGCGTCCCAATAGCAATGTGATCGCGCCATCTGGTACACAACCCCAGGATCGGTCCAGACTAGAAGATCGGTGTACGCATCCGCCGGTCCGATTGCGCGCTCCAGTGCTCAACAGCGCGCCCCAGTGCAACGTGGTTACGGTGGAACCAATGAAACCGTACTGATAAATCGTTCTTGTTAGACTGGCATTCACTTCGGAACGAAATCCTATAGAAAACACGTGATTAATAACTGTGAGGCAGATCTACACTGGTGGAAAGCGGGAAAATATAAGTGAAACACTGAAAGACTTCCGGTGTGCTACGAAGACGTCGTGGTACCATCTGGAAGAGATCCTCGGTGGAAAACTCAAATCTTCCAGGTGTATGGAGGATGTAGCTAGTATGCCCCCACTAAGCATGTCCACAGAATCGCAAATAAGTTGACAGGAAGAAAAGTTTCGTTGAAGTCCTCTTGACCAGGGTGCCTGTATAAATACTTTCTAGACAAGGAACATTTTTGAATTTCCTTATAAAAATGTTTGTAGCGCATATTTCGCCTCGGAATAAAGTGGAATAGACTCAGGGCATGTTGAATGTAGTCAATGATACCTTTATCCAAACCAAGAACTTCTGTTTCATGTGTACTTTACACTTTTGAAACGCACTATATAACGTTGCGGTGGTAGTAGATGGTATTTCAAGGTATCCTGTGAAGAGCAGGTTTTGCACCATATTTTAGCTCGCAACGTTGCGCTTACCCACACGCGATGGTCACGAAGCGGTTCTGTTGTTTTTTTTGTTTTGGGTCTAGTTTTTCCCTGTTTCACAACACCAATTGACCTTATCTGTTGAAGGAATCTTATACATACGTTGTCGCTCACTGTCCCGACTTCAAGGTGCGAGTTCGCATCGGATTTCACTGTGGACCGATCGCTGCTGGCGTCATAGGAATACGTTCTCCGAGATATTGCCTTTTTGGAGACACGGTAGGATTGTGCAACCATCCTTGTCGTTTTATTGCGGTTTCGACAGCAATGAAGCAAAGAATTCCAGGTTAACTTCGCCTCACGCATGCAGTCTAACTGCCCACCAAATCAGATTCAAACAAGTGAAGTAACTGCGTTGAGACTGATGAATACCAATGAATACTCGCTAGTAAAGCGAGGCATTGTTCAAGTTAAAGGAAAAGGTATAGTTCCACTCAAGCTGCTTCAGGAAATCTTTCCCGGAAAATTCTTGCATTCTTCCACGACAATATGTTAATTGCGATCACTAGAGACAACAGAAATTGCACGCACGATGATTCCATTTCCCAAGAGAAAAACTTTAAAAAAAACACACTCTGGCATGGTCAAGCGAGGCATCGAGGAAAATTTCAAAATACTCCTCCCCCCCCCCGCCAGAGCCCGAAGTCCATGAAACGGCCCTCCTCATAAGATTAATATGGGAATGTTGTTGAACAGTTTACCCCCCCCCACCCCCTTCCACCCGAACAACTTCCATGAAAAAGCAAATCCTGCTACACCACCTTCCACAATAAAGGTCGTTGAACAAGTAAAAAAAAGTCAAAGAAAAATAGTAATGAATCTTACCTGCAAGTGGAGCAAAAAACGATGAACTAGCTATGAAGAGTAGCAGCTCTTCTTCCTGCTCTCACAAAATCAGCACATCCTTCTTACATAGGAGGCAGAATGAAAAATGAAAAAATAGTCTTACTGGAATTTGTCATGTTTTACAACATTGTAAGCAAACTTAAAATTCAAAAAAAAAACTTGCAATCCTACAGAACAATCGACCACCTTATAAATAAGATCAAGCAGAACTAATACAATACTTTGTCGATAACCTTCGGACCTAGAGTCGCTCGCCGAAACCTTAACACGGCCAACATATGAAATAGTTAATGAATTCGCCGTCGTCTAGGACACCTTCCTACATTTTTCTTCGCATTTGACTATTTTCTTAACCATTTTGACATTTTTTCTGCCAAAGGTTTCGTCTTCATAGTGTCTCGACGACGCCCAGTACTTGCGTCTGAATTGATTTCTCCCTTAAAACACGCCATGCCATCGGAACCACTCTTGCACAGAAGAGGTGCAACGCTCTCGGTCAATCCATTGCTAGAAATCGAAATTAACACTGTGCCCTAGCTGTGGATGTACAAGACCTTCTAGAACCTATTAGGTTGTCGTCTTGCGTATTTTCTTGTTCATCTTGCAAAATCTTTTGGGATTGTTTTGAAACATTCTCCATTAAAGGCAAACCCCGGGATTAGCCCGACTAGTAGGAAGGATACCGCGACGGAAATTGTATGAACCGTACCTACCTAGATTACTTCAACATGGTCGCGAAAATCACGCGGTTAGGGCGCTAATCCTTACGGGCGTCCAACCATCGAACGCTTCCCACCCACCTCGAGATGTGGTGAGATCAGCGTGCATTGATGTAGAGATCAGCGTGCTCTCTCGAACGACGTTCTCTCTCGCGTGTTTTGACCTCTCTGAACGCCCTGGTCTGCCGTCGTACCACATCCGACCCGTTTGAAGGGGAAGGCCTTAAGTTCAGCGTTCCCAAAGCATTCTCTCACTTCCCTATCCACTTTGGGGTCGCTCCACAGCTAAGCTATCACTGCGAAGCGCTCTTAGCACTAGTTTAATTCCGGAGTTTGCCTTTGAACGCATGTGAGCGGTGGTTAATGGTCTCACAGCATATCTGTCGTAGCATTTCGCAGCGTGTGAAGCTTTAAAAGCGTCTTTTCGAAGGTATGTTCGACTGTTCCTGCCTTCATGAGTCCACAAAGTGCATCGATTGTAGGAACGCAGAAGGAGGCCTACGTGGGACCTCCAAACTAGCTTTCACAATATGCCAATTATTTGTTTGCCGAAGTCCAAGATACTTGAGAAAAAACGTTAAATCTGGTCGGCCTGCAACCCTCAGTGACGAGTGTGCTCTAAATTCGACTGGAGAGAGTCCTCAGTGCAATGCACGGTAACTGGTGGAGCTTTATCAGTGTATCAGAGCACAATGGCCGCTTCTCAGTATCGCCTTGAAAAGAAGTAAGATTTCGGCAAGAGGATATTTTGTGATCTGACTGACAACACGCTATTAAGACGATAAAATTATCCATGGACACATTGATTTGCCGCCTGTCTTTCGTTTGATCCGCCGATTCGTTGATAGTAGCAAGAACAGGGATCTTCGTATAAACCGCACGCGGAAGCACGACTGGCTCGGATGCGTAGAACTAATGATTGCTGTGACGATTCGAGAACAGTAACCTGGGAGGCAACTTTGAAAGCTCATGAGGCCGCAAATGTTTCGCTCACGTAGAGCTGCTGCTAACGAAGTCCACTTCTATTGATGAACAACAATGTTGGCAAGCAGATCGGTTTCCTGGCAAGGTGCATAGAAAATCCGAGGAAGTTTGCTCCATCTCGGCAACGCCCACGAAGAAGGCCTGGCAAAGGTTTCCAAGCTCGTTATGGGATGACCTGCCCCACTTAGTGTGTTGAGCAAACCTGGTGGAGACAGACTACCATACGCATGTTGCAGCAGATGGTACTGATATAGGGGCAGGGCCATCCGGAACTATTCGGAGTCAACCTCTTCGAGTTTCTGCCGCAAAAACTTAGGATTCCTGAACGACCGGCAGAATGAAGTTACGTGCTTAAATGTTTTGACGAGCGTGGTGGTGTATGTATGTAACAGTTGCTGCCTGCGCTAAAGAAGAAAAACAACTTTGTAATGCGCAAAGACTTTCCGACAACCTAATGTAATCCTAATTTCACCTACAAATTTCCCTAGAACCTGCATCCGGAAATGTTCTCAAAGAAGTTTCTAGAAGGGAATTCTAAATATCAACGCAAAGATCAAACTTAGAAGAGCAACAAATTTTTATCCACTTTGTTTTGAAAATACTCGCACTGCCTATGGCTCCAAATCATAATTCTACCACATTTCCCTCCGCTGCATTTTACTTTTTACCTATCAAATCTTGGAATTGTTATCCATTCAGGTTGCTTAGCTTATTGCAGAAGTGAAACAGCTGTTAGAATTCCGTAAAGGGAAAATCCCAGTAAAGGAGAACCAGAAATTGACGAAGGTCAGTTCACACTAGAATTGGGTCGGAGTCACCTCATAGCGTGCAAATTCGTCGAGGATCGCACAGTTTTTAAAATTCCCGGGGAACCCTGAATACTAGTTGACCGAGATAAGAAAATCATAAGAAACTATACCAGGCTATCAAGCCGTGTACGGAAATCAAAAGTCCTTCAAAAGTTATTGTCTCAATGGACGCAGTCTAACGTGTTTTCCAATGGACGTTTGGCTCGTCCGGGCTGGCACGCGGCAAATTGCGCGGCGGGCTGCGCGGCGATCCGGACAAGGCAAACCATCGTAGGCTTCTGCAGTGGAATCCAACACGTCAAAGCGTATATAGGTAAAATCCACAAGGTTCTGCGATTTGAATTATTAGGTTGGAACAATTGAAATATCGCTTCCGTTTGTGCCTTTGTTTCTTAGCTTAAACATAATCTCTTAGAATCAATAAAAAACAATAATCAGCATATTCGCAGCTTAATGAGCGAAAAGGACTTTCCCAGATGTTCATTTCCCATAGTAATCGGCCCCAAAACTTTCTGAACTCAGAAAAACAACACTATGATATCCGGTACCTAATAAAAGCTAATGAGTACAGTAGGTAAGCTTGGAGATTTCCCTTAACCTCGTAGGATCGAGCAGTGGTGTCATAATTTCAAAAACCCAAAGCGCCATTCCAGTAACGTTGCATTGCAGTGCCACAGGAGGATTCGCTGGCGTTCCACGGCCTAAGCTAGAGTGGATCGCTTCTCACTCCTTCCAACTAGGGGAATCTGAAGGAGTTTTCAGAAAATGACGCTTAGCGGTATTCGGAAGTCGAACATGCCTCGAAGAGGAAATAGCACTGCGAAGCATTGACCCTCGCAGCGTAGGGTAATTACGAGGTCAGCTAGCGATCACCAAGGAAAAAATGAGTAAAAACGAAGTAGTCTTTGGGTATTAACTTATATATCATCGGATAGCATTCATCGCGCCGAGTACAACCGTATGAATTTCAACACTAGTTCTGTGTTCTCTGTCCGTGAAATTTTGTTCAAAGGGTGAGGTATTGTATCCTATCTAGTTTACCTTAACATTTGTTAATAATAATATTGCCATTATACGGGACAATATGTCATGTTCTTGGGATAACCATTCACTTCGTTGATCATACATTTCGCTCAAAGGAATCCTGCGCGGAAAAATCATGATTCTATTTTATCCATAAATCACTGGCTTGAGACTCATTCTCCACGATAGTAGTGAAAAGAACTAAAGTATTGCTTTCGTTTTGATTAGAAATTCGAAAACTTGAAAAGGCTGCTACGAGTTCGAATTGCCCACGGACGTCTTTCACGATGCTGGCGCACGGGGATGCTCAAACCTTGTTCTTGAGTGCATCACTAGAAGCTCTTCCTGGCCTTCTGCTTCGTTGCATTCACATCTTACACTCTACTCCATCCTATTCCATCGATCGATTTGTCTCTACTCTCGAATCGCGCGCTTTAACCCGATCTCTCATTGCGTCGCCTGTACGTAGCCGCCAAACGCCGTCTTCTTTCCATGCCTCGCCTGGCTCTGCTCCTGGTCCTTCGATGGTCCATAACATGTACTTTTTGTACATTTGCTTCTCTTCAGAAACCGAATCTTCATGCGTGAAACATTGTGTGCTATTTCCAGTGATCAACACTGACATATTCATGTTAGTAAAGAGTGCAAGAATTTCCGCGCCAAGATCCTTTAAGCATTTCGGAAAGAAAAGAAAAGTGATTGTGCTCGAAGAATTTGTCGTAGTTCGATTGCTGTCAACTCATTTCCGCTTAAGCATTTTCGGAAAGAAAAAAAAGTGATTGTGCTCGAAGAATTTGTCGTAACCGATATTCAGAGCTAAATTATATAAGAACCGCTTGCTGACATTCCAATAAACAACGAATTGTTGCGCAGTTACATTTTGTCATTTCTCCAGACTTTGATTAAATACGCTTTCAAAGTTTGGAAATATCGTAAAATTGAAGGCTCGTTCGCATCGGAATGACTGCTGAACATGGATAATTGCGGTAAAAAAGCAGTGCGTGTAAAGATAGGCTGTTATGCATATAAACATGAGATCTACGAATGGTGTCCAACCTTGA